CGCCCCGCCCCGCCGCGCCGCACCCGACTTGGCTCTGGGCGAACACGGGGCCGATTATCTCCACACTAATTCCCGATCGCCGATCACTGCGGCGGACGCCACGCCAGGCCACGCAACGCCGCGCCACGCCCGTCCCGGCCGCGGGATGGCGCTTTGGGGTAAACTGCGTCAGGAATCCCGTCTCATCAACCTTTCATTAACTCAGCCTCGGTGATTAGAAGCCGGCCGACACTGACATACGCTGCGTGGTACCGGCCGAGCGTGCGGGCGGGAGAGCGTGCGGGCGGGAGAGCGTGCGGGCGGGAGAGCGTGCGAGCAGGTAAGCGAGCATGTCGGTAGGGGCAATTAATGAAGGCAGGCCGAGGTGATACCTATTCGAAGGGTCTCCCCGACACCTGACACCTCGGGTTAGATTTTGTCGCCGAAGGCCCCGGAAGTTGAGCTGCGCGATTGAAACAATATGTCTGATTTTTTTTGAAGAAAAGGCGACAACTTTGAGGAACTCTCAAGGGAACTCCAATGATTTGAGGAATGTACTGCTCAGGTTTTGAGGAAGTAAGTAGTCCCCCAAAACGTGTGATTATACCTCAATTTTTGATGAGATATCCTGAAAATCTCAGGAATTTCTTTCAAACTCGTTTAAACTAGTAAAAAAAAATCCTCAAAAAATCATACATTGTTTTTGTTGTCTGGTCATTTACATACGAGGGCGAAATAGGAAAAATAGCACTATAGAAGACCAAAACCAAGTTCCTATTTAGAATTGAATTATTGTAATTGGAAGGTATGAACTAATTATCAACACAATAATTGGCTCCGGTGACTGGCGAGGACACAAAAAGAAAGATGACCTTTTTTGTTGCAATAATTAGCGGTCTACGTTTTCCAGTTATTGAACGAACCAGTCTAGTAAACCTGGGTGTCTATCCTCTGAACCCTGGAGATTCTTGGCTCCCCAAGTGCTCACCGGGGCCTCCAGTCCGGTGCCCCACAGTTCTCGCAAGGCAAACAAATGAGTCAGGCCGTCCCAACATTAATTATTACCCACTCCGCTCTTCAAAACTCTTCCGCTTCCAGTAGCCTGCTCCGTCCATCTGGACCTTATGGTGGACGCGTATCCATCATCGAGGGGAGGAAGGGAGGAAGAGGGGGGGGGGAAGTTCTTAAAGAAACAGTTTTTTGGGGTGTTTGTCGCGGCCATAGCGAACAGACGAGTTTTCTCACGGCCTTCTCATTAGTTTTGTAATGTGTGCGGTTTTATACAAACTGTATTTTCAGAATTTTTTTGTATGATAATTATTTAGTCTCCTGGGGCGCTAAAGTCAAGGGCGCAGTTGAGTGCCTTTCCTGGGGCACTAAAGTTTCGTGCCTTTCGTTCCTTTCCAAAGGCACTAAATTTAAGTGGAACCCATATGAATGGACGTTCTTAGGTGGGACGGATGACATACACCCGTTCACACACCTACAAGTGTGCAACTTTCACAAACTTGCGTTTTCAGTGCGAGAAAAGAACCATAGCAGGCCAAATAAATCTTTTTTTTCTTCTTCTTTACAGGCAAACAAGTCTCGCTATGTCGTTTTTTAGGAATTTAGTATCCTTTAAAGAAGAGAACCCACCCCTAATCATGACAAAAATAAGGCAGGGTTGGCACGTTGTGACTTACGCCCCGGCCCCGCCGGCCCAACTGACAATGAGCCCCGCCGGTCCATCCGTCCTATCGACGTATCGCCCGCCGGCCCGGCCCAGTCCGGTCCTTACCGCCCCGCTGCGCTCCACCTTAATACGCCGCGCCCCCCGCGGGGCTGGCCGCGCCGCCTCCGTCCCTCTCGCACCGGCAGGGGCGCGCGGCCCGGCGCCAGGAGCGCCAGCAGAGCGACGAGGACGAGGCGAGACTCATTTCGGAGCCACCGTCAAGTGAACAGCAGCAGCAGCAAGAGCAGCGCTGTCCGGTAGCTGCACAGTAGGCGACCGGCCGCCGTATGGACGGGGCTCGCGGGGCGGGGCGGAGCGTTAGCGCGGCGCGGAGGAGAGAAATCGTTCCTCGTACAAACCTATTAGCGAGGGGTCACGAACCCGCCTGGCGCAGAGTGAGCCAGTTATTCTGGGCCCTTTACCTGTAATTATTCCGTGAGTTACGCCGGAAAATCGAATTGAAACAGAAAACGTTTATTTACCTACCCCCGCGGACCACGGAATATGGGAGTGGGAGGGAGGGTTGGGAGGACAGAGAGAAAGAGGGGGGAGAGGATGGGGGAGGAGAGAAATGGGTAAGAGAGGTGGGGGAGGGATGAGAGGGAGTTGGGGGGCCGCTGCAACCTCATCCATCCCTCTCGACGGGGCCCTCATCTCCAGGCGCCGCGGCGGGGAAGTCCCAACAGCAGCAGCGAGTACAATGAGTAGCGGAAGCGACGCGTCGAGTGGGCATTAGTGCGGACCCGAGGTGGTCGCATTCACAACGAATACACGTGACGTGGCAGCGCGTAGCGCGGTGGCGGCCCGGCCGCGATAGCCATCAACAACAACAACAAACGCTCAGGCGAAAGTCGGACAGCGGGACGCGCGGTGCGTTTTGGGCCGCGAATCGTTATTATGTTGTTGAAGACGAGTCCGTGCATCCTCGCATAAGCATTATGGGAGGTATGAACACAGTGCTTGGCCACTGAGTGCCTCGGCCCCGCCACCCTCCCCTCCCCGCCCTCCTGCACCTCTTCCCGTACCCCGGCCGCGGACACGACGCTGACCGGCGCGACCTCCCGCC